CGACGGCTCCAGCGCAGGGCCGGGGCGGCAAGGGAAACCTACCGTTCCTCTTCAGGAAGGTCCGCACGAAGGGATCGATGCGGACGAACTCCAGCTGAATATCGTCTCCGTCGAAGGGGACCCACCTGCCGTCAGAAAGCTTTTCGATGACGATGCTGTACTCCTGGAACAAACCCACAGCATGTCAAGTTAATGAGCGACGCCTGAAGACAAACCTTGACCCATTCCGAGCTCAAATTGTCCCAAATCCCTTTTATCAGCTCCCACGTCTCCTCCTGCCCAAACGCTGCAGGCGGGCAGCCTTACCACGAGGTCGGTGACGGTGTAGGCACTGGGAGGCGTGAGTTCCCCCACGCGGTGGTGGGACACCGCTCCGACGCGGAGCACTCCCTCCTCCTTGAACACCCAGCGGGACAAGGCAACAGCCAGCTCGTAATTACCCGTCTGCGAGTACCTACGGACAAAGGAAGGCTGAGAAAGCACGGCAGCCATGCCGAAAAAACCCACCACGTGCCAAACCCCAAACCACAAATAGACGTGAAAGCAACTAATTCACTACCCGTGTTTAAAGGAGGGAACTGCTTCCCAAAGCACGCTGTTCCACAAGGCCAAAGGAACACATCACCCCTGATTTCGTTCAAGCTTTCTGCTCTTTCACGTGACTATTTTACTGCCTGTTTCCCAGGATTTTCTTCAAACAGCTCCCCAGTATTCCTCAGCCAGGGATACCAGGGAGGCAACGCACCTCTTGGAGCCGGGGGTAGCTTTCTGCACAGCAGAGTTGAAGAAGGCGTCGCTAAAGAAATCCAAGGAGCCGCTGAAAACAACGCGGGCGTTGTTCCGGGCCTGGAGTCCTGCGATCAGAAGGGTGTTCTTCCCAACGGCATGCGGGTACTGAAAGGAACGTGTTTAAAACAGTGTTTAGCCAATTCAGGGATGATTAAAGGAGAATTAATCTCTGGTTTGCTGCGGCGTGGAACAGCCTGACTGTAGCTAGCACAGTCTGCAATTCAGTAGAAACCAAGAAGCTGGGAACAACTGACAATGGGATTCACAGCTTCTGCCCTCTCTCACTGGAACAGAACCAGGAGACGCCTTGATCCAGGCTGGTCTTTCTTCCAAAGCATCCCTCAGGCTGGACATTCTCCCACCAAGAGAAAGCAAAGAGAAAGGTTCTCAGGGCAATCTCGGAAAGCAGACGACAGCCTGACACTTGCAAAAGCAATCAGGAGATTAAACACTCCAGGACTTTTTCCCCAAGTTGACAAAGTTTGAAGGACTTAACTGTAGAAGCCTAAAAGAGAAGAAAAAATAACCGAGCGTACCTGAGTAATAGGCTTATCTGGGAAGAAGGAGTAGGAGGTAGAAGAGCCGGTCAGGATATCCAGCACCAGCGGGTTGTCGGGATCAGCCACCATCCTTGCAGGGAGAGACACAGTGAGCAGCACGAAGACCCCTCAGGACCCCACAGCCTGAGGAATGTGCAGCTGCTGACTCAGTCCCACGAACCCCCTCACCCTTCGGATGTGGCAAGACAACTGCACACACCAAGAAATGAAACATTTCCTCAAGCTTCGCTTATTTACTTTAAGAAACTTTCCTAAGTCAACACCTAAGCTGCTTTGGAGATTTTACTGCTGTCTGAAGTCAAGAGAGATTGCTCGTGTTGAGTCACAGCCAGCTAACCCCATGCTTACCTTGCGGCAACACTGGTATTTCTTTCTGCTTCCCCAACAAGAGCCACCTCACCTCCCTTCCCGCACCGCAGGTCGCTTACCCGACTCCTCGGAAAAGGATGGGGTTTAGCGCCGCTTTCCCCACGATGGTGGGGGCCTTCAGGAGGTTTTCAGTGTCTGCAACTATGAGCGTGTGCTGGAAGGAAACGAGAGAGACGGGCATGAACGCGCTGCACAGGCAGGTGACATTTGCTAGGTTCTAACGGCAAACAACAGCTTCCCATTATCTGGAAAAAGTTCTTCCTGGAGAGGGTGGGAGGCAGTGGGACAGGCTGCCCAGAGAAGCTGTGGATGCCCCATCCCTGGAAGTGTCCAAGGCCAGGCTGGATGAGGCTTGGAGCAACCTGGTCTAGTGGAAGGGGTCCCTGCCCATGGCAGGGGGGGGGACTGGGTTGGCTTTAAGCTCCCTTCTAACCCAAACCCTCTGTGATCTGAAAGTTAACTTTATAGATTTTAATTTTAAAGTACTAGATGACACTAGGGGGAAAAAATCCTAGGAATGTGCACATTCCTATACTGATCTCTGGGCCTGAAAATCTCCCCTCCCACACCCGAAGCATTGCACTCAGCATCTCTCACATGCTTCAGAGTGGTTCAAAACCACCATTAATTGTACTGAGACACGGTGGCAATTTGAAACTACTCAGGGCAGTGGAAAGATCAAACCCAGGAAATTCAGAAAGATGGATTTGAGGGCAGGGCCCCTGAACGTGCAGAGCTTTGCGGTGCTATGTCATGCTGTCAAGCAGAACTACTTATGGCTTTCCTGGGAGAAAGCTGAGAAAGTGGAGAGAAAAAATGGGTAAACAGGGACAGAAGATTCATCCCCAAAACTCTGCACCTAGAGTTCTCATTAACAAACCCCCAAACTGCTGACAAACTCATTTACCTGGCCAGGGTCTGATATATCGTAGTTGTGATGGTCGATGACAGCTGTCCTTTCCTCATCAAACTCGATCCCACACTCACTGCCCAGCTCTCGCAGCGGGTCTCCTGGAAGGACAGAAGGAATTCTTTGGGACACGTCGCCAGTCTCAGCAGTCCAAATAAAAAGTGAATTCAGCTTAGAGTCACACATTCATCCCTCTACGAGACAAACCCCGAGAAGCAACGCAAGCCCCACGCCCCCCCCGGTTAAGTTCCTATTCAAAACGTCCATAAAGGCTATTTATCACTCGTTTAATTACAGTATAAACCTTCAGGTTCGCAACAGGAAACTCTCTTCCCACCAGTTTTGTTGCAGGAACTCCGAGAAGGGTGAACAAACTATTTGCTCATTGCAGAGCCTAAGTGAGAAGTGGCTGAAACGCACTAATTTGACAACCGTTTGTACTTACCGATGTCCGAGCTGGCAGCAACAAGGACGCTGCCGCCGCCGTCAATGAAAGCAGTGATGGTCTCCACGTTGATGTTTCCGCCAAAATCTGAAATTGCACGCCAGAAATTCATCACTAGTTGTCAGAAATAATACTGCAGCAGGTTTAAACCATGGCAAAACATCAAGTCGTTTCTCTCTTGGCTGAGCGAGCCACTGTTAAAGGTCTGGATGTATCTGCAGTTTGTGCTGGGTGTAAGACACGAAGGATAACATCTAAGGCATAAGATTTAATTATCATTCACAAAATAGTTGCAAATCTCCTTGAAAAATACCTCAAGCTCCAAGAACACTCCAGGTTTCCCCTCCTGCATTTACCTTCTATGGATGGTGAGAAAATGATCAAGTTTTCATAGAGAAATTCCCCGTATTTTATCAGCGACAGGCCTGCATCATCCGCCGTCCGGAAAGTGAGATCGAAGCCCCTGTCTGCAACCGCAAAACAAAACCGTCAAATTTTGCGTGTCATGAAATCGACACCTGCAGCAGCAAAGCAGCATCAAGAACCTGATTTCTATTTCCCCCAAAAAATAGCGGTGTTTTGGAAAAAGTCGCTCAGGAGCTTTCTGGGAGCACCCCCAAGGTGTTCCCACACAACCCCCTGAGGGATCAGTCCCCTGAAGAGCCCCTTTGTTGCAAGGATAACCCGAAACAGGCACATCTGGGGAAACACCCCCATCTCCTCCCTCTGCCCGACCGGGGGACCCCCACGTCCT